TGCATAAAATAAAAAATAAATCTTTAAAAAATAAATAAATAAAAATTTAAAAATTACAGAAAGAAGGTCTGGGGCAGCGGCAAAAGGGAAAGAATGCAATTATTATACAACAAAAGTAATGTAATTGTCTTCTTAAGAATAGCAGGGAGACCATAACTCAAGCAGTGTACCATATCTTCTGAAGAACTGCAGGTAGATCATAATACAAGGCAGTGTACCATATAGACCATGACATGTTTCAAGGCACAGGCCAAGAAGATTTTGTACTTTTCTACCACCTGGACCCTCTTACCCCCTCCCCTTGTAAAACATGCTATAAAAAAGCATTTCATGTTCAAAAAAAGAAATAAAAAAAAATTTGAGAAAAAAAAAGTAATGTAATTATGATAAGACATATTTTTTATTTCCAATATATGGAAATTATAAAGATTGACATAAGGAAGGAGCAGATGCCATTACCCATAGCAACTGATGACTTCAGCACAACTGAAGACAGAATACTATGTTATCTTTGTGTGTCTGTTTGAGACAGGGTTTCTCTGTATAGCCCTGGCTGTCCTGGAACTCCTTCTGTAGACCAGGCTGGTCTTGAACTCACAGAAATCCACCTAACTCTGCCTCCCAAGTGCTGGAGTCAAACGTGTGTGCCACCACAGCCCAGAATACTATGATATCTTAATTGCTACTAAAGAAATAAAAGTTTAAATATAGAAGGTACTGTCTGCCCTCATCTATGAAGTTTGTTGGAAATTGGTGATAACAGAGAGAAAGCAGTCTACATGTGACAAGTTATTTCTGGGAATTATTAATCCCCCAAAAGTTTCTCTCCAAGTTGGAAAATACTGATATAATTTCTTAGCCCAGAGGTCCCCACATTCTTTTCTGGAGCTCCAAGTCTTGTGACACGTGTGTTCTGCTTAACTTTTCTCTATCTTAAAAGGTGCATTTGCTAGTTACACTTTTCTCTCATGTATCTTTGAATACCTTTAATTCCCTTTATTTCATGAATACTTTCCCAGAAGAGTAATAGGTCAAATTCTCTACAAAGCTTTGCTCCGTTGCTCACAGAATCTGAGAAGCCATGGCAGGAGGAGGATGTGCTCCAGGCAAGCTTAAGCCATGCATCAATGCAACAGCCTTTTTTAAAATCACTTTAATTTAAAATGTAATTTTAGGCTAGTGAGGTGGTGCGTGCCTATAAATAAAGCTAAGAGGAGCAAGAATTCCTGATAATTTTTAGCTATGTGGGAATTTCAAGGCAGTCTGAGTTACATGAGATCCTATGTCAAAATGACAGTAACTTTTCCATTCTGCATTTTTTTCTTTATCATACCAATTAGTAGTCTTCTTTTTCTGTTTCCTTTCTATATATACCAACAGTAATCAGTATCTTAAGGTACTCAATAATTGGAATTGGCATAGTAAACTTTTTTGTCTAGTGATGTATTGGTAGAGCCACCATTACAGTTGTATTTTACATGGATAACTCTCCTCTCCGTCATGAGATGACGAACCTATGGGCTGAGAACCTAGCTACTGAGGTGAACCCAGTCTAGCTGAGAAGTATGTGTGATACTTCAAGCATATCACAATCTAGTACCCCTCAAGTATTGCAAATATTTCCAGTGGAACAATAAAGGTGATTTTTAAAAAAGTCCAACCAATGACTTAGCCCACATGCAAAAGACTCAAAGAGAAAAACACAAGAAGTATTAAAATGGAGGCTCCCTGATGACTTAGAACATAACGGCTTCCACTAGGACGACCTCTAGCAGAAGTAAATTAGATGAATTCCCAAAGATTCAAAGAGTGATTATAGGTATATTTACAGAAATCAAAGAGAACACCATCTTCTGCATGAATTTCAGTAGAACACAAGGAGCCACATGGAAGAAGGAAGCCAATGCAGTATCTGAATGTGGAACCCAGTAGAGCGATTGAAAGAAAATCAGCCTGACACACTGGAAATGAGAAATGAAATTACTCAAAAAGCTCCATGGAAGTCCTAGAAAAACAGTTACCTTCATACCAGAGCCACAGAAAGCCAGGTGCGGTGGCACACACCTTTAATCCCAGCACTCAGGAGGAAAAGGCAGATGGATCTCTATGAGTTCGAGGCCTGCTTGGTCTATAGAGTAAGTTCTAGAACAACTAGGGCTACACATGCCTCAGACAAAACAAAACAACTACAAAAGAACCATATACAGACACAGCCACACCGGGTGAAGTTCCTTTCTCTGCTTTGTCACTATTACTTGTAGAGACAAAAAGACAAAAATAAAAGGGCTGAAAATAAGAAGCCAATCTCACTACCCAGAAGTCTCAGCCTGACTGCTGGGCTCCTGACAATAACCTGAGAAGCCTTCACAGAACAATTAGGGTCTAACTCCTAAGGGCTCAGACATCTCACCCCAAATGGCCAGTCTCAGGGAGAACAGGTTGTATTTACTACCCTGTTTCTGAGCTGCCTCTGACCTGTTCAAACCCATCCTCCACACCAGCCTTGGAGGCAAAGCAGACAACTTAAACTCTAAAACATCCCATTTCCTCTTAGGGATGCCATTCACTCCCTGACCTCTGAGAAGTTGTCCACTGAATTTCTTTGTACAGTGCCTATTCTTTATTTTTTAAAAATTATATCAATTCCGGACTGGTAAAACTATGGATGAAAGTCCCCATACCTTTCATTGAGTCTTCTGCACGGCTACTGAGCTAATTAGAACCTCAGTGGCTATAGAGAATTTGGAATGTTACATGTCCAGAGTCAAGTTGTCGTGGACCATCTTCAGTGAGTGTGCACACACACATGTGCCCCTGACAGACAGGATCTCACTATGCAGCCTTGGATGGCCTGGGACTTGCTATGTAGACCAGGCTGGCCTCAGATCCAGAGATCTGCCTGCCTCCCAACTGTTGGAATTCAAGGCATGTGATAACATCCTCTTCCCAGACTCTACACCCAGCAACATTAGCATTCCTCACAGCCATTTATCACCCTCTTCTGGGTGTGAGCTGACACCTTTGTGACTATCAGGTAAATTACTTGGAGTCTACAAACAGATGGCTGGTCCTCACCAACCCAAGGCTCTGAGCATCATCAGAGGCTTTTAGCCAAGACTTTCTCAGTTTAACCTATCTATCTAATGTCTCCGTTACTATGAAGGCTTTGTGAAGGGACTAGGGAGATGGGACAGAGGTGAAGAGCACTGGATCCTCTTCCAGAGGACCAGGGTTCAGTTTCCAGTGCCACATTAAGGCTCATGACTGATCATAACTCCAGTTCCAGGGGATCAGATGGTTCCATCTGGCTTCATCATACATGGCTCACACGTGCTGCACAGACGGACATGCAGGCAAAACACCAACATAGATAAAATAAAACAGCCCCGTGAAGGAGCTTCCACGTCGGAAAAGGAAATTTGGGGTGATTTAAATCCATGTTCCAGGACCATGATCACTATATTCGGTCCCCAAATATCCTTTTTGTTTTCCCTTTACAGGCAAGATCTCTGTTTCTGTGCCAACAATACCTTTATCCTGAATCTTACAGACTGTTTGTTCCCATTGTCTCTTAAGTTGGCCCTTTGAGGATCAATCGGTGAGCCTGGCTTTTTAGGGCTGCCCGGGCTCAATCGTTAATCTTAAAAGCTCTGGCACCATATATGTCATATGTATACAATTATGTGTATTAATTATAACTTTCTTATGAAGACTTTAATATTTCCATGGTTCCGAGGTTAGTACAGTGCTATCTGAAGTTATGGCCAGGGACATATACAAGTTGTTTTACATATTCAGGATATCATTCTTAGGGAGACGATGAGAAAGAATGACATTCTGTATCAGTAGGATAAAACTTTAAAGTTTTTTTTTGAGGAGGGACTAATATGTAGAGCACTTGGTGTCTGTTCTTTTGGTTTATATATACTACACTTTTTTTTTAAGTTTCTCACATTCTGTGTTATGGTTTACATGGTTTTGAAAGGTAGCAATCCTAAGACAAAATTGTAAGCTCTTTGGATGTAGAATTGCACTTTGTTTCAAGTATTTAAGCTACCCCTCGCTACACACAGCGTGCCCTCAGATGTGCCCTCCCCCCAGCCTTGAGCAGGCCTGAAAGACCTTATATACCACAATAGACCAAATAATAGGACCTAGGTGGAGTTAACCACCTTGGCTGCACCTACAGCCTGCTACAGGGCTTAGAAGAATAACTGCCCGCTGAGCTTGCCATGAGATATCTCTGGCTGTGACAAAGGATGGATTCCTCCACCCATCTCCATCTTTGCAGTGGCAAAGGATGGGTTCCCCTACCCATCTCCAGCTGAAACAAGAAGGGGTTTGGTGGGGCTTCCCCTTTAAATTGAGAGCTGAACTTTAAACTTCGAGCCTTGATCAGAGAACTTTGTCTTGGCTTCATCTTTTCTCGCCCTCCGTCCCTTCTTCATTTCCAGCCCCCCTTTCAGGAGAACCCGGTTGGTCTGTGGCCACAGGCGGCTACACTCAGATAGCCTTCTGTCTTCCCCCCCAGGGTGTCAGTTCCTAGTTCAATTATCCCCTTAAAGACCAGGCCTGTGGGAAAGCGGAGCGCAGCGCTCATCAGGGAGGTACTCAGCGTCAAACTTCATAACGTGATCACAAATGGAGTCGTCGCTGAGGCTTCTGGAAAGCGTAGTCCAGAAAGGAGGACCGTTAGGCGCATGGGCAGAGCCCTCATCTGTCAGCTGAGGAACTTTTGTCTTTAGTCTGAGGGGCACATCAAACCCCGCGCCATCCCCGGGCCTGGGGAGGTCTCCGATTGCGGCTGGCGAGCCAGCGAGCGCGGGATCCTGTGGGGTGGTGGCGGAAGGAGCGCGCTGGGCGGGCTGTAGAGGGGGAGGGGAGAAGAGGGGAGAGAAGGGGAGTAAGAGGAGGGGAGGAAAGAGGAGGGGAGATCAGCCGGAGGGGGGCCGGTCTGAGCCACCGCCCAGGTGACGTGGCGCCCACCCGCCTTGTCCGCCCGCCACGTCTGCGTCCGCCCGCTTCTCAGCCGTCCCCGGGCATCTGCAGCGGAGGCCGCGGGACTCCCTAAAACCGCTGTCACCAAGGTGAGAATCGCTCCGAGCGAGCGCACGGAGCAGGGCAGTGGTGCTGAGTGCTCTGTAACTAGCAGGGCGGGCTGTTTCTTTTCTAGCAGAGCCAGGTCCTTTCATCTGGGCCCCTCAAGGATGTTCACAGGGACAATTTGGTTTACTCAGTACCCCCGGGTGGCCTTAATCCTCTATTGTTTAACTCTGTGGTTGATGTCTCTTCTTGCTGTCCTGTCTGCGGGCTGCTTTCTGCGCAGCGGCTTGATCATACCTGGAGTCTTCTAATTCTAAAAATTCTCGAGCCTCCTCTAGATCCATTAGTGTGAAAGATTAAGGGTCGTCTCATATCCCTCACAGCCAGCCTTTGTTAGACTGATGAATAGCTATTTAGAAGTCCAGTATCACTTTTTAAAAATACCTTTCAGTATTAAATTATACCGAGAAGCTGGCAATTGTATACACCTTCTGAGAGAATAGAAATGAGACAGACTCGTGGGGCCGCGGCAATCTGGCCTTGGAGCTCCAGACTAGTTTAGAGCTGTTGAACCTCGTGCCTCAGCCTCCAGAACGCTGGGTTTACAGGTGTGTGCCACCACATCTAGCAGAGGCAGATCTAAAGGATGAGAACTGTTGTTCACTGATGTTCTCTGGTATGAAGAAGATTTCCTAAGGCTGATGATTGGTTCATTTGTGTCTGGCCTTACACATTAGGCCTTTGGTAAGCACCTGGCTGGCTGGAATTGAGCATTTGGGTTTTTTTTTAAACTGTATACATGTATATGGTACTAAAAATGTTGTCTAATTAATTAATGACTTTATTTAGTTAGTTAGTTAGTTGAAATAAGGTCTCATTATGTAGTTAGTACAAGCTGGTCTAGCTCTCGATCTATAACTTAAACCAGCCTCAATCTTGCTATCCTTCTGCCTCAGCCTTTACAATGCTGGGGCTAAAAGTGTGCCTCATTCCATGTGGCTTCAAATTGCTATTTTTGAAGGTAAATTTGTTTCAAAACTTCATTTGTTTCAAAGCTAGATTTGGCAGCCATGCAAAAGTTCATTAAGATGTAATTAAATTTCACCCCACCCCCATTTCAGCCGGTTTTGAGAGGCCAGACAATTACAGGGATCTAAACCTGTTGTGTGTCTGTCAAGACTTGACTGGAGGCTGCATAGAGGGTTATTCACCGTGATCTAATTCCTTTCATTTTAGGAATAGTAGCACTGAAACTAAGTCCTGATGCACATAGCAGACACAGCAACAGAACTAAAGGCAAAACGTACCATATGTAAGAGAAAATGAATCATATGTAAGGTTCTTGAAGAAGTGCTTCGTTTTCTTTTTGCTTTGAGAAATTGTAATTTAGGGAGAAGAAATGCCTCATGTTTGAAAGTTTTGAAATGACTTTCTAACTTTGGGAAATTGTAATATTAACAACAACAAAAAAGGGTTGCCACCAACATAAACACCTAAGGTTCCCTGTTTGCATATGTTACACTCCCTTTAAAACTAATCTATTATTTGGTGTTTAGGTGTTGCTTTCTTTTATGTTAGTCAGTAAGCAGACACATGCTTTTCAAACAGACAGTAGAAATGTTTGGATTTAGTAAAAGAGAAAATGTCTTAGGCTCATCAAGATTATGTGAGAACTCTCAATTGAGAGGCCAGTAGTACTTCATCATGGTTCTGATTGGGTCAAAAGGACAGCTTCTCAGTATATAGTACTAAAATGTTGTATGGAAATTTCTTACAGGAGACCTGGAACTGTGGCATATGGTTTCCTAGGACGTCACTCTCCCACCTTTAAAGAGTAAAACCCTGCTCTAAAAACACAGCAGAAAATGACCAAGTTCAAGGTGAGTACCTTAATTTGTCTAACTCTGTGAGTGCACACATCTGTTCAATGGTTTTTGAAAGAGAATCTATGGGTTTGGGGAGTTGACTCTGTAGTTGAGAGCAGTTGTTGCTCTTGCAGAGGACTCATATATGATTTCCCAGAATCCACATGGTATCTCAAAACCATCCGTTACCCCAGTCTCAGGACAGTCAATGCCCTCTTCTGACCCCTGCAGGTACCCGGCAATTACATGTGCAGGCAAAACATGCATACACACAAAATAATAAAATAAATCATTCTTTAAAAAGAAAGAGAATGTATTAAACTAGGAAAGTATGACCGGTTTTAAAGTTCCTTGAGGGTTGAATAAAACAGTAACTCTCAAAGTATGGTCTAAAGAGACCCAGGTGCCCTCCAAAGCCTTTCAAGGGATTCTGCACCACCGAAGGTCATGTTATCAATGAGCAAACTGCATTTGTGCTAATGGTGCAGAAGCGATGATACAGAGCGATGACAGTCCCGCATCAGTTAAAACCATGAGGATGACGGTGGAGAGAAGCTGAGGAAAGATCACACACGTTGAGCAGAAGTTGCGAGCTATGTTTACATATGAAATGTACATTTTTGGTGTGTAGTGTATAGTATTTACGTATTAGCTGTATTGAGGAGGAACTAAAGTTCTTTCCTATTTCCTTGCTGAAATTTCATCTCAGATACACTGTCCATAAAATATTTGTGTCACAATAAATAAGTCAGCCTTCTGCTTTGAACTAAGAACAATTCTTTAAAGGGGTAGTTCCCAACCTTCCTAATGCTGCAGCCCTTTAAGACAGTTTCTTATGGTGGTGACCCCAACCGTAAAACTATTTTCATCTATTTTATAACTGTAATTTTGATAGTTATGAATCGTAATGTAAATATCTGTGTTATCTGATGGTGTGAGGCGACCCCTGTGAAAAGGTCATTTAACAGCCTCAAAGGGGTCACGACCCACAGGTTGAGAATCACTGCTTTAAAGACATAAGGTGACTTTGATTCATATTTAACTTTCAAGATAGCATGGAACTGAAGCGCTTGCAAAAACTATGACAGTGACGTATTACTGCCATTGGATTTTTGCAAAGAGCTAAGTAAAAGACTTCTCATTTCCTTAAGAATATCCTCAATGGGATAAATAAAAAATTATTACTTTGGGGTGATTAAAAGATAATGAGAATATACTTGCAATAATAATAATAATAACAGTACTAATGGCTCACCTTTCCTGATGCCTTATCATACCTTACACTCAAATTCATCCTTAATGCTACAGTAAAAATTATTAGTTTAGTTAACCCTTGACCCTTGAGTGCACATCTTTTCAACATTTTGTATGAGAAAATGAGATGTTCCTGTAAGGCCCTTCTAAGTTACTCCTGAATGGTGACGATTGGTACCCTAGGGCAAGTACTTGTGCAACTTTTATGCAAATATCTTGAAAATTTTTCATGGGGTATATTTTATATTTGAAAGAACTGAACTGGCAGAAAAATAACGGTTATTCAGAATTCACAAAGTTTCACTGTGAAGCCCCAGCTGGCCTAGAACTCACAGAGATCCTCCTGCCTCTGCCTCCAAAGTGCAGGGATTAAAGGTGTGAACCACCACATGCCCAGAAACTTTTTTTTAAAAAAAAATTCTGTGAAGTAAGTCTGTCATTTCCAGGAAGAAAACTGTTAGTATTCCCCCTTCTTATTATTAACGTTAAAATTTGATTAACATAAAAATTAGAACTTGGGAAATCTTATGACCTCCATGATGAATGTGCAACTTTTTATATAAAGAATTTTCTAAGTCACTGCTGATGGTAACAAATATGATTTTAATAATTTTTATTTATTTATTTTATGTATATGAGTACACTGTAGCTGTTTTCAGACACACCAGAAGAGGGCATCAGACCCCATTACAGATGGTTGTGAGCTACCATGTGGTTGCTGGGAATTGAACTCAGGACCTCTGGAAGAGCAGTCAGTGCTCTTAACCACTGAGCCATCTCTCCAGCCCCCTATGATTTTAAAATAACTATAAAATTCACCAATATTTGACTTGTGTTTCTGGTTTATGTTCAGAGCAATTTGAAAGCAAAGAAGTGAAGAACAGGTCATGTGTTAGGGAACTGTTTTCAAAGGTAATAATTGAGAAGACTCCTGAATTTGGTAAGAGGGAACTAACTGGAAATCAAGAATGCCATTGCAAAACCATAGCACCCAAGTAAGAAGGAAGAAGTGATATTTCATTGGAGCAAAATATGGGTGACTGTGGCTTAGGGACGCAGACTTAAGATATCTCAAATGCCATGTTCCAACTTGGTGACAGTTTTTCTAATGACAGAAGAGAGTCAGAAGTCATGGTACATTAAAAAGACTTCAATAAAAGCATCAGGTGGGTGGGGCACAGTGCAGCAGGGAAATCTCTCACGGGCCTCGGATACTATCTGATGACACCGATGGTCTCTGCACTGGTGAAAGCTGGGATCTGTTTGTACATTCTAGAGGAGTTAACAAGGAGGAATGTTAGGTCAGACGCAAAGGTGGGAAATGAATGGATATTAGGAAGGCTGAAGATAGACAAAGGTAGTTTGCTTTGGGCTTGTAATGTCCTAGGACTATAATTACAGTTGTGCTCAGTCAGTAGACTCTTTAACACAGGCCCAGCCCTTTCCTGGGCTCTTTTAGTTCATAGTTCTCCCTGTGGGTTAAGCATTACCATCTGCATGTGGAGAAGGCAGATATTGCTTGATTCCCATGATGGTAGAAGGATACAGGTCCCCTCAGTAGGCAGGGATGCAGGTCCCCTCAGTAGGCAGGGATGCAGGTCCCCTCAGTAGACAGGGATGCAGGTCCTCTCAGTAGGCAAGGATGCAGTCTTCAGGAGAGAGAAATAGTGGTTAAAGGCATCAAGGAAGCAATCCCTGGATGAAATACACTGGCCACCATGATCTGGATCTGACTTTTTTTTCTCCTCTCTCTGCCTCTCATAACATTTACTAGTGACATAAAATAGGGATATTATACCTAAACTTAAAATGATGGCAAATACAATATGGCCATGTTGGGTCACACACTCTTGAGCTGTCCCTTTCTCCCAGAAACCAGGCCATGCCATCCTCTAGCCCCCTCTCAGGGACACAGAGTTTATGTATGAACTCACAAAGACTGTGACTGCACTGCCAAAGTTTAAACCAGAAAAAAAAATCCCAGCACAGAGATGAGGAAATGGACTCAAAGTCCCACCCCAGACCAAGAAGCTATCCGCAGTTGATACCTGCTTGGGGAGGGACAATCAGTTTTCTCCAGTAGAGTGTCACTGGATGTGTCACCCAGAGTTCAGGCAGGCTCATGCTCAGCAGTAGTTGGCCAACACAAAACTGACTCCAAGTCATGATTTTTGAGTGAAAATTTTTTGGTGTGTTTTAGTATTTTTTGTCATTTGATTTTGTTTTGATTTGATTTTCATTCTCATTTGTGGGAGAGGAAGAGGAGGAGGAGGAAGAGGAGGAGAAGGAGGAGGAGGAGGAGGAGGAGGAGGAGGAGGAGGAGGAGGAGGAGGAGGAAGAAAGAGAATAAAACTGAAGTGGGCAAGTGTAGGGAAATGGGCAGGATCTCGGAGAAGTTACAAGACCAGAAATAATATGATCAAAACACACTGTGAATTTTCTTTAAAAAAATTAAAAGCCAATAAGAAGGATTAGCATTCTTAAATCATATTGGGAGACACTGAGAGCTTTATTGAATTTTGAGGTTTCATAAATTATATAATGTACGTGGAATGTATTTCGAGTCATATCTCCACCGGCCCTTCCCCTCTCTTTGTCCCCAGTGCAGATTCACTTTTATTCTTGTGTCACAGACACATTTCTAATTTTATGTATGTGTATAATCTAGGAGCCTCAAATGAATAAAAACACACTATCTGTTATTCTGAGGATGGCTTGACTCAGTTTATCCTATTTACTTGCAAAGCGCCCTGACTTCTCTATGACTATCTCTGTGTGAGTCTCTGCCACCTTTTCTTTACCCACTTTTCCACTGTTGAACACCTAGGTTGGCTTTTATAACTTAGCTATTAAGAATAATGCTTCAATAAACATTAATGTGCAAGTATCTTCCTGATAGGTTGATTTAAGTCTTCATTTTTATTTTATAATCAAAAAGGGAAATGAGATTTCAGTGGGAATTGTACCATTATGAACATTTGATTGGTAAAATATGACTATTTCATATCTTTTCCATCTTTGCTAGCTATAGGATACCTTAAATGCCCAATTAATCAAGAAGCACGGGCCCTTAAGATGTAGGTGTCATGAACATTGTTGCCTTTTGGCGCTGATTGTTCTTGTATAATTTGGTTAAGAAGAGTGAACCTGAATCTTTGGATAACCTTATGCGGGTGAATGGAGTTGGAGACACTTTGAGATAGAAGTCTGAGTATGTCCGAGAGCTTTTCCAAGCCTTTAGTTGGCTGTGTATTAACATTTCAAAACTATTTTTTAAACAATACATTGCTTTCTTGTATCAGTTGGCATATCTTACCAGAATAGTCGTTATTGAAGCTGAGTAAGATGGATGGTGGTTTTTCATTGTACATAGATCCTCTATGAAAGCTAGCCAGCAAGGAGGCAGCTTCCAGGTTGGTACAAGCTTGATTTCTCCATGTCTTATGCCTCAAGTATATCTGCTATCTTTGGCAATAGGGTCTTACAATCAAGTTCTATGGGTAGCTAAGAATCGTGGCAATAGCCTGTAATATTTGAGTTGTGTATGAGAATCCATTGATCAACAGCTCAAAAAGCCTAGCACTAGGATTTTTATTTGATAGCTCAGTGTATCTAGAAGAGGCACTGGACCCCTGTTACGGAATGCCTCCATTTAAACTCCTTTTATACATGACTTATATGTATGTATTTTAGAAAGCTTCTGTAGTAGTTTTTACATTGTTTCTCAAAGACATACAGTGTAGGTTATCCCTCTCCATATG